GCTGTGGGTAGCCAGCCGGCTGAGATACTGCCCTCTGCTACTGGCCGTTCTGCAGGCTGTTTAGCTTTTGTTTTTTGCGTTGTTTTGGCTGCCTGTTGTAGCTGGGTGTTGGGTAAGGGCGGGCCCTTACTCCTGGTGTTGCTGTTGTGGGTTGCCATGGCTGTATCCTGCCTTTGGGCGTCCTCTTGGCCGTTTTATTGCGGATTTTAGGTGATCAGGGGTAAAACGGAAAGAGTTTTTTTTTTTTGCTGTTAACACTTTTATAAAGTTTTATATATTAGTTTTTATATTATTATTTTTTTCAAAATTATTTATTTAATATTAATATATAATAGGTTATTATTGGTTGTTGTGGTTGTTGTTATTGTTATTATTGTTATTAATATTATTGTAGTAGTTGATAATATATTTTTAATGAAATATAATTAATTGGAATATAATATCAATTTTTTAATAAAGATAAGTTAATTTTAATTTTTGTTATAAAAAAGAAAAATATTATTTGTATATATAGTATAAGCAAAAAAAATATTAAATTAAATGTTTTTTTTAATACAATTTTTATTTATAAAATGTTTAGTTTTGAAAAATTTAATTAAAAATTCCATCTTTATATAGCTTAAATCATTATAATTAAACTTTTAAAGTTAACTTATATATAACAGATCTTAAAATATAAAAATATTTTTTATATTAATTTTAATAGAAGTAACTTTTTGTTTTAAAGAAAAATAATTGGTTTTTCATCTAATAAATTTAGAATTTGATATTTTACACATAATATTTAAAACTACTTAACCTAAATTTTATAAGTTATAGTAGAAAAAAGACAATTATTAGTTTTTCTAAAAAAGAATTTTTATTTTTAATAATAATAAAGAAAGAGAAAAAGATTTTTTAAAGAAAAGAATAATTGACAAGAGCTTATTTTTATTTTATTAAAGTTTTTTAAAAAGAAAATTTTTAAAAATTTTAATTTAACCAAATAATAAAATATTATTATTATTTTAATTTTAAGTTTTTTAAATATTTAAAAAGTTTAATTTTGAGATTCAAATAAATTATCAAATATATAAAAAATAATTTTAAAGTAAAATAATTATGTTATTATAATATATTAATAAATTAATTTAAATTTATTTTTTATTTTTTATTTTTTGAAAAAACAAGTAATTTTTATGTACTATTTTTATTATAAATTTTAAATTTGCAAATATAAGATTTACAACCTATAGCATAGTATATATCTTTCTTTGTTAGGAAGAATTTAATACAAGACTTAACTATTGTAGTCTATCCATTCGAGCTTCTTAATGCCACTTAAGAATACAAAAAAAAATTTTTAAACCTATATTATATCTTGAATGACATCTAGCTATCTAAAGAATTTTATATCTAATCATATGAAGGTACTGCAGCCACTGTATATGAATTGGTCTCCAAGGCATAACTAGAATTAATACACTTGTTTTTCAACTGTAGCTTGATATATGATAAGTGAAACAATTAATTCAAATTTATATATGATATTTTTTTATATTATTATTTTTTTTTTTTAAGAATCAAAGTGTAATACTTGTACTGTTTTTTATTATTAATTAATAAAAATCATAAATAGCTATTATGTAAACAGTTTTATTAACTATTGCTAATGTTAACTGATACTATTCCTCTTTTTTTTACTAAAATATCAATTTATACTTTAAAAATAAGTTCATATTCTAGTTTATATTATATTTTCCTACTTGTAAATATAAAATAAAGAAAATTTTATTCAACAGTTAAAAAATCTTTCCAGCAATCTTTTTTTTAACTTGTAATTCTATATTTTTTTATGAATAAATTACTAATTCAAATTTTACTAATATCAAATAAGATAGTAAGGATTTATTTTAATTTTTAGAATTTGTTAATTCAATTTGAGGTATTAGTTAATTAAATATAACTTATCAAAAAGTTAGTCAACCCAAATAGAAAGAATAATACTATTAAATTTGATATATCAATTGGAGTTATAGTCTTTTATAGAAATTAGATTAGAAGTTTTATCTTATATAATCTTTTTTACTTTGTTCTGTTTTTAGTCCATAATTATTAAAAAAATTCAAAATCTTATTTTTATATAACCTAATTAAAATTAAAAACAATCTGAATATTTGAAAACTAGTAAATTTAATATAAAAGATAAAGTTTATACAATTTGTCTTATATAGATATTAAATCAAAAACATATATTTAAAGATCTAGAAGTATTATTACAGGTTTTTTCATATTACTATTTATATAAATAATATTAAATATTTTTTAATTTTAATTTTAATTTCAATTACAAAATTTTAACAAAGTTATTTTTTTTAATATTTATATTTTTAATATTAATTTTATTGATTTAATATTATAATTATATTTAAAATTCTTAAAATTGTTATTATAATAATTTTTCAAATTATTAATTTTAATATTAGAATAATTTTTTAATTTATCAATTTTACAATAAAATTATTAATTTTAATATTGTAATCATATTTAATTTTTTCAATTTCAGTATAATGATAATTATTTAATTATTTAATTTTATTATTATTAATTTTTCAAGTTTAGCAATATTGAAATTTTTTAAAATTTCAATTTTACTATAATAACTATTTTGTAAAATTGAAATATTTGCATTATAAAGATTTTTTAAAATTTTCAATTTGTTTCTTTCATTGTATTGCAATTTGAACATATTAAATTAAAGCATTATATACTTGTATATTAATAAAAATATACATATTAATGTTTTGTTGTGAATTTATTTTTTATTAAAAAAATGTTGTTATTTATTTTACTGGCAAAATAATTTTAAATAAATCAGCTTTGCTGACTTAAAAAAAGTAGATTCAAAAAATAAAATCAAAACATTGTATTATTTATATATTTTATTGTTCTAAATTTAATTTCTTGTTAACTTTATTTAGATTAATTTGTTCTATTTATATAATTACTATATAAGTAAAAATATTATTTATGGCATATTATTTATAGAAACAATATTTATAATTTTATTTATTTATTGTTTATTTACTTCTTGTTACATATAGTAAACAATGTATAAAATATTTAATTGCTAATTATTCTTTTTTTGCATTTAACAAGTTTTGTTGTTATAATTTATATTAAAAATTTGTTTCTATTTGTTAAATATATTACAAAATATATAATTAAATTAAATTACATATCATTTATTATTATTATTAATTATTTAATTATTATAATTTATTTATTTATAATAACAAATTTATAGAAATTAAGTAAATCATTAATAAATCATTTATAATTTTATAGTATAAGATTTTTATCTTAATTATATTAGAGCAATAACCGTTCTGCGAGATTTATTTAAAATTTCTCGGCGATTTCGCAAAATTTGTTACGTGTCGATCACCACCTATCACGTGATATGCACCCAAAATAGTAACTTAAAACTCTGCTAGAAGACTGAGTAGCGGGGAAGGATATGGGTTAGGGCTCGGCAGGCTTAACAAGCAGACGTGTTTTTATGTCTTTCCTCCCTTGAAACATCCTGCTACTCAGTCGTTTAGCCGGTCAATATTCATTTTACAAAAATAGCTTGACTAGTCAAATAAAGATATGAAAGTTTCTGATTATCCAATCGCAACGCGCGTCGGTTTTCTGTGCCGATCCCGGAAAATTCTTAAAGGTTGATTTTAAGGTTATCGGATTTGTTTGGCACAGTCGAAATAAAACTAAATGAAAACGTTTGTAAAAACCTAAGCGAACCAGGTACATCATATTGGTGCATCACTTATTACTTATCTAAGGAATCAGTACTCTCATTATATTCGTTAAAATTTACAGCATACTGGAGTTCGATTTCGAAACCATCGTTGATTACATATTTAATTTGTCTCTCACAAACAACAAAAGATTCGCTCTCGAAAGATAAGACTCAAAGTAAATACGTTTCAGAGCTCACCATAATCAAACGAAATTATAAGGAAATGGACGAACAATACAAAACGGTCGTAGAAGCTTTGGAATAAGTCTGCTTTTTATTATGGTTCGTGTACATGGCGTAGACATTCGTTTTGCTGCCCAAGAGCCGCGGCCTGCGGAATCCCAGCACGCGAATGTTGTATCGTATTATCAACTAGTATACTGGCTGCGGCTACGTATATGAAAGGCTGCGGCTCCGTTGAGAATGCAATGGTACTCTACTAGCTAGTATACTGGCTGCGGCTCCGCTATAGATACACCATGTTTAGTTAGGTTAGAGTAGCCAATAGAAAAAATGAGATTAAACTGCGCGATTGGAGTTAGAGTTAGTTAGGGTTAAATTTAGAGGTGAACTTTGTTAGGTTATCAGAACATAATATTTTACAGTTGAATTTTTTACTAGAATGAGAAAGCATCGGAGGAAGTGAAAGATTTCTGGGAAGACAACAAGTTGATCCAAAAACTCAATATATTAGATAAAAAACGAAAATTGATCGAGGTAACGTGTAGTTGAACCTTCCAGTATTATATATTTGAAACAAATTTTGAATTTTTAGGCTGAAGGTGTTGTGAATTTTTTGCAAACGGGAAATGAACGCTTAAACGATACTTCAAGGGTGGTTCATGAGTCTCAGTTAAATATTTTGGAAAGAAATGAAGCAAAAAAATCCAGAAATGATGAACAAGAAGAAGCGGAGGATACTAACAATGTAAAAAGGTTCATTCACCCTTTTTCTTTTAGAGATATCCGGAAACGGTACAAACGGTATTCTGCTGTCGCACAGCACTGAGATACTAATTCAACACCAAGCTTTTATGATTATTCGTATGTCACCTAGGATGAGTCAGCTACGGATAACAAACCTTATCTCTTAAGAAAAAGACGAGGTATCAATTATAATGAGGAACGGATGATAAAGAAACAACATTAAGATGGATACTCTACACCATCATCATGTAGTCCAACACTACATTCATTGCCAATAGGTAATCCATTTGTAGTGGAGGACGGGGACGGCACCATAATAATTGATGATGTAGACGAACTGTGCTTTAATGATGAGGAACCAGCAAATGATCATAAGATAGGATAAATCAACATATCTCAATTATTCCGGAAATATCAGAATGAGTCAGTAAAGATCGCAAAGACCGATGGTCTATTTGTTGAATCAAATGTACAGGGGGTGATAGAATATTAGGAAATTTTACTTTATATGACAAATAAACAGATAAAACTTTATTTTTAAATATATAGATCACAAATATACATGCTAATATTTTTATGACCTCCGTCAGCATTAATAACAGCTTGAATCCTCCGGGACATTGATTTTATTAGATTACGGTAATATAAATTATCTACTGCATTCTATTCCTCTTTAACCATTTACTCTAATTCCTGAATATTGGATGGTTGAGGGTGACATTTACGAAGTTTTGATTCAATTATTGACCAGATATTCTCAATTGGATTGAGATTTGGATTTTGAGAAGGTCAGGGAAGTAATTTTACATGTTAAGAATAAAGTCACGGGCAACTTTAGCAGTATAAATGGGTGCATTGTTTTCCTGAAAGAGAAATTTTTTTTACATTGCCGAGCATGTGCTTTAAGTGTAGGAATAGCATAATATTCTAATGTATAATGTACTGTTGCATTAACAGAACCAACTAATGAAATAATAGGACCTAAATCTTGTCATGAAAAAAATGTCCAAACCATGCAAGAATCACTATGCTTTATTGTTGAGGAAATGCAATCTTCATTGAGTTCTTCATCTGGTTCCCTCCAAATTTGACTCCATCCAGATTTGGAATTGAAAAAAAGTAGATTTATTGATCCATAATACTTTTTTTCAATCTTCTACTGTCCAATTATTTCATTCTAAAGTCCAATTTAAATGTTTGATTTTGTTTGCTATTGAAATAAGTAATTTTTCTTGTAGATAACAAGAATGAATTTTTTTTTATAGAAAGCTCATTGAATAGTATGTTCTAAAACTTTTTGTCCATTATTAAGTGTAGTAAACATTTTAGTTACTTTACTAAGATTTTGACATTGAGAGTTTGTTTTTTTAAATAATTTATTTTTAAGTAATTGTCTTTTTGTTGCATCAATAATGCATCAGCAATCTGTTCTTTTTAAAAAAAGTTGGTTAAATTTATAGGCCTAAAAACACGTGTTATATTTGAATTAGAATGACCAATAATTTTGACAATCTTTGTATTTTTATGCCCAAACATTTAACAGTTATAATTTCTTTTTTTTCTGTTTAAATAAAATCCTTTGCATAATCATAATTGCGATAAATCAGAAAATTGCATTTTTAAAAAATTATTTTTTACAATGTTTTTATTGCTTAAAAAATGTAAACAAATTATTATATATTAAGAAGTTAGTATAATATTATATATATTTATTTATTAGTTGATTTTTTTAAGTTTACATAAGTTTACACAAAATATAATTTTTAAAATTTCTTAATATTCTATTATTCTCTTGTATAATTCATATTGGGTAATTTTTAGTTCCAGCTTCAGTGAAAGAGATATTATCTTTTGTTAATAAAAATAAATATGTTTATAGAAGTATAAGGGACTTTTTACAAATTCTTTAATACTTCTATGCTAAAGTCTTTAATTCAAGTTTTCCATTAACAAAAGCAAGTTTCAAACATGATACTTTTGAAACACCAAAATTTAAACAGCTTGTTAGCAAACACGTGATTACTACAAAAGCTGTTTATTTTGATATAAATATTTTAAAAATAGGAAAATTATTGATATACAAGTAATCAATAAAAAATAAAAGATTTATTCACAATTTGGACTTATTATTTAGAATTAAATATAAATTGTAAAAGAAACAATATCTTTTACGCCAACCTTTTCTTTGCGAGGCCCTGTGTACGTCTGGTAATCACAAACATGAGAGCAATTTATTTTTTCTCTCCTCTCTTCCTTTTTTCCCTTTCCCAAATTCCCTCTTCTGCCAACGAACAGTTTTCTCTTCTCCTTGAAGATTTTCTTTCTAGGTCTCTCTTTCATTACCACTGACACCATTTCATCAATCTCACAGCACAGCAATGACACTATCTTAACCAAATATAGCTATCTGGTCTTGACTGAAAAGAGCTTTATCAAGAAGTGTGGGCTTTTTGCTATAAAACTCCAATCCTTAATCCCAAAGTATTCAACCAAGAAAAGGCCATGTAACAGTACTTTGACTGAAGGTTGGAAGTGTACCCCGTAATCAGCCAGGTGACCCTTCTATAGTCACCATCTAACATACTGAAGTTTACTGAGCGAGGATAAGGCATGTTAAAGGAGGAAATCAGTAAACAGAAAAGGTTCTATATATAAAGCTTTGCATTGGCTGAGTCCTGGTCCTGCCTGAGATATAGAATCAGAAGTATGCATTTGGACAAGCACTCTTACATGGATTTTGACTCTGTCACCACCTCACACATTCGAGAAAATTTATCATAAAGTTATTTTCTTGTCTCAATCTCCAACTTCTATTCATATCAAAACCATGACCAGCTTACCCCCTCCAAAAGATCGACGTAAGATGATCATGTCATATTGGGAACAAGGCCCCTAATATGGATAGACCCACAGGCCGTACTACAATAACAAGCTGGTTTCCGGGTCCAGCAATTATTAAAACTGATTCTCCTAATCACGTCAATTCCCATTCACAATAAATCACATAGCGAGCGCATATACTGGTCATAAAATATCTAGTAGCTAGCTTTTATTTACCTTTTTCTCTTTCTCCACAAGAGTTTTTAGAGTTTGTATATGCCACCTTAATTGCAATAGGCTAGGATTATTCTATATAGTTGGTAGAAAGATTCTTAATGTACTGGCTTAAACAAATTACTTGTTTAATAAAGTCTTACATTTAATGCCTATTTGCAAAAAAAAAAAGAAACAATATCTTTTGTATATAATAATATGAGTTAAATACTAGCTTGCCTATTATATATTATATACGTATATGGTATAAATTATTTGTTATTGACTCAATTTTCAAAATTCTCAAAAATAATTATGTCATAACTCAATTATTTATATGTTTTAATAATGACTTAATTAATTACTATATATCAAATAATTGCATCAATTGTATCAAGGATATACAAATTTCAGCAACATATTGTAAGAGAGACCAAAAAAATTAGATAGATTCAACATATGTCATCCTCGCCCAATTGGGGTTTAATTGGAGCTTGAGAGATTTTTGGGATTTTTGGGATTTCTTAACATGTATATAAAGAGAGGAATGTACTAGAGCAAAAGCAAAAATAAAATACCGTCCTTTTATCATAAACTCAGACTAATATCTAACACTTTCACTTATCTCGTGCCACATCTCCACGCCTCTTTCGACGTTACATGATCGGCGATCGCACGTAGCGACAGACTCGCCGTTATTACCCCCAACAATATATATCATACATATTTTTAAAATTTGTAGATTTTTGATACAATTGATATAATTATTTAACATAATTAATTGAGTTACTATTAAAACATATAAATAATTGAAGCATGTGTACAATTATTTTAAGGATTTTAGGAATTGAGTTAGTAACAAATAATTTATATCACATATATAATAGATTACTTATAGTAATTATTTAATTAATATTGAAAAGAATATTTTTTTAAAATATCTTGTCAAATGACTTTAAACAGTTATGATTATCTACTTAACATTGGATAAAAAAAAATTGAAATAATTAGATATTAATATTATAATACATTTGAAAAGGTTATATCTGCTTTGAATATATAAATCTATAATTATAGTAATAAATCAATAATGGTTGAGATTTGTGTAATAGTAGAAAAAGAGTTATTGAATAATTTTAATTTGCTAATAGTTTGAATAGTTGTTTTAGTTAAAGTATTGAAGAAGTTCTTATTTTATTTAATACTAATAAAATAATTTTAATATTTTTATTTAAATATGATAAGAAATATTTAATAAATTTTTTATAAGTTAAAGTTTTTTTTTTGATTTTATAATTAAATTTTTTTGAAAAGTTTATTATAGCAAAGATTTATTTTTAATAGAATTTATATATATATTTATATTTAAATTTTGTAATTATTTAAAAAAAATATTTTTTTAACTTTAATTGATATTTTAAAATAAATTATTAATTAAATGTTAATAAACTTTAATATATTATTTTTTTATTATAAATAATATTTATTAAAAGTTTTATTTAATTTAAATTACTATTTAAAAAAAAAAAAAACTCTCACCCGTTTACTGCTGATTTTTTGAAAATTTCCTTTTTAGGAAATCTTCTTCCAAGAAGCGTCTTTCTCTTTTTATTCCCTAAGGCAATAAGCTTTAAATCCAAAGGACATAAAGACTTTAAGGAACATTGTTGTATTGGGATGGGACCTCTGGTCAAGACCTAAGCAAGTTGAGAGTCTTCCTTAGCTTTTGGTTGCATGGGGAAAGGCCCGTGGCAGCCTTTCTTCATAATTTTTTTGTCTTTAAGTATCTCCCCCTTTATGATCATAATAATTGCTTTCCTCCTCACCCTCACCTCTCCATAACACAAATTTAATTCCAACAATACATTCAAACAAAGTTACTGGGTCTAATGTTTGTCTTAACACAACCT